ATCACCTAAATATAAGAATCATTGTGTGTTACCTTAGAATTAGCTGTTTTTATCTACATATTAAAGTGCCATGTGTCTCCAGTAGCCCAGAACATACAAACCAAACACTGGCTCCAACTAGGGCATTTTATGAGTTTTGCGGGCACCGTAGCTTCTCCTACATACTTTGAAGACGAGTGGTATTCAGTTGGTTGAATCCTACACACTAGTCCTTTAATTTCCCACACTTCACATGTTCTCTTGTACCTACATGTACGTATCTGTGCATACAGTACTAGTACACCATTAGTACAAATAATTACAAGAATAATGCTGTATGGTGAAGGTCGTAATCTAAAGCGTTGCCTCAAACATGAACATTGCAGCATTCAGGCTGCTAGCAGGACTTTAAGTAACCTTTCTTCCAATCAAATCAACTAATAGTAAAAGATAATTAGGTTGCATTAATCATGATTTGATCAAACAATATCTGACATTTCCAAAATGTATAATTAGTAATATATTAAATAATCTATTTATACTCTGTATTTCACTCGAACATTATGTGAAGCAGAGAACCGTTTTATCTGAATTAAGAAATCAGAAAATGAAGAATGAAGTATGTTTCAGAAATGTAGCTTTCAGTTTGTATTTCAGAAGGTGTGAATAGAGAGTGAAGTGACCCCAGCTGTGGTGTGTCAGGTTGCACTTATGTTACGAGGTGTCTGGGTTGTCGTCTGCAGGTTCAGGCAGTTCCTGTGGTCTGTACATGAAGGTGAGGAGGAACAAAGCCACATCATAAGAGCACCAATAGGCCGTGTGTGACGTCACTGCTGACCAATAGCGGCTCTCCACCAAGCCCTCCCGCAGCTCAAAGTCGATGCGTCTCTCCAGTTCCACTGGAAGAGAGAAAGTGACGAGTCAGTAACACGCAAGCTGCCTCTAGTGGTACACAGACGAATTTCAGAAATATCTTTTTGACATGTAATAAATTAAAAAACTAAATACTACAAAAAAAATTAATGAAAATTCTATAACACTGAAATACAATTTCATATAAGTTTTGCATTTCCTGTCAAATTTGTTTCAATATCAGCCTGCTGTGGGCCTACATCCATCATTTGTTGGGAGCTAAAATGTGATGTAAGATAGTAAACAGAGGTAAAATTAATAGTTTGAGAAAAACACTGTCATTTACAGTGCTGTCAAAAAGTTTTTGCCCCCTTCCTGATTTCTTTTTTTTTTTTGTCACACTTAAATGTTTCAGATCATCAAACTCATTTTTATATTAGACAAAGATAACCTGAGTAAATACAAATGATGATTTCATTTAATAAATGGAAAAAAGCTATCCAAACCCACCTGGCCCTATGTGAAAAAAGTATTTGCCCCCTAAACCTAATAACTGGTTGGGCCACCCTTAGCAGCAACAACTGCAACCAAGCGTTTGCGATAACTGGCAATGAGTCTTTCACATCGCTGTGGAGGAACTTTGGCTCTTCATTTTCTTTTTTTTAAGCCATTCAGAGGTG